TATCACTCCTTTCTTTTTGGCTGATAATTGTCCCTTGATTCTCCTGCTCTTCAAGAATGAGGAAAGCCCGTTGGTCCTGCTGCAGTCTGCTCTCTGGTATGCAAAAGGCAGAGTGAAAAGGTAGAGAGGGAGGCAGGGAGAGAAAGTGCCTGTGTGCTATGGTGAGTGTGTGATGCGTTTGGCTCAAGCCATGCCCACTTTGCAGCACAGCCAATCATGACAAAGACGGGATCTCGCCTGACCACTGAGCACAGGTTATTAAAGATAGGAGTGAGCAGTGGAAGGGCATGGCATATTCTCTGATAGACATGAATTGCCACCACCGTAACTAAAAGAAAATAAATGGAAGCGGCAATTCAGTGCCAATTGAATAATATTGTAGCTCTCAAAGTCTCCCAAATGATTTTTCTCACGTGGGTGGAGGTTGGCCTCGCAATTACCAAAGGTTAGCTCAATCACAAATTGTGTCCTACATAGTGAGAGTGACAGGGAGTGTTTTACGAGAGTGATGTCTCATCCAATTACCTTCATACTAGTGCATTTTGTTTTTCTGACACTGAGCAAACTACTATGACATTCAGTAGAGCGCATGACCTCAATAATCCCAAAAGTGCCCATCAGACACAAGAATGAAAAATTCAACGCCAGGTGAAACTGTTCCGGTAGACCGTGGAGATTTCATCATCTACGGTCTATAAGAGCATCAAAAGTTTCAGAGAATCTGGAAAACGCTTTGCATGTAAGCAGCGAGGCCAAAAACCAACACTGAATGCCCATGACCTTTGATCCCTCTTTTGGCACTGCATTAAAAAACAACATCATTGTGCTAAGAATATTGCCACCTGGGCTCAGGAAAACTTCCCAAAAAATCATTAGCAGTTAACACAGTTCATGGCTACATCTAAAAATGCATGTTGAAGTGGAAAAGTGATAATTTCAAATTGTCTTTGAAAATAATGGCCACTGTGTCCTCCAGGGCAAAGAGGCAAAACAAACAAACAAACAACAAAAATAACATCGGAATTCTTATCAGCGCAAAGTTCAAAAGCCACCATCAATGATGGTAATGGGGTGCATTCGTGCCCATTGAACATCTGTCAAGGTACCACTAATATTGAAAAGGTACATACAGGTTTGAGAGCAACAAATGCTGCCATTTAAGCAACGTCTTTTTCAAGGACATGCCTGCTTATTTTAACCAGACAATGCCAGGTCGCATTCTTCGCATGTGACAACAGCATGGCTTTGTAATGAAAGAGTGTGAGTACTTGACTCACCTGCCAGCAGTTCAGAACGAGCTGCCATAGAAAATCCGCTGCCATCATGAAGGGCAAAAGACCACAACGGAGACCCGACGCTGTTGACCAACTGAACTTGCACATCAAGCAATAACGGGAAAAGAATTCCAACAACAAAGCTTTGACAATTGTTATCCTCTGTTACCAGATGCACAGTGAGTGTTATTAAAAGGAAAGGTGATATCACACAGTGGTAAACATGCCATTGTCTTAGATTTTTGGAAATATGTTGCAGGCATCAAATTCAAAATGAGGGAATATCCCCCCCCCCACTTGAGAAAAATAAATAAATCACTACAAACTCACGACACAACTATCAATTTGAACATTAACAGGGTATCTTATAGGGTAATATCTTGTCTTTGTAGCATCACTGAATCGTGGTTGAAAAGAATTTGCAAATCATTGTGTTCTTGTTTTTAATTTACATTTTACACAACATTTCAACTTCATTTGGAATTGGGGTTTATATTTTTACCCACCCTCTTGAAAAGATTAACATCAAAATTGATCAAGCTGTTCAATCTGTATGTCACCTTAATGGTGAGAAACCTTTTTGAAATTATTTATCATGTCCTATTTTTTTGGGATCACAAAAAAACCTGCCATTTGAACAGACCTTCAACATCCACTGAATGTAGATATGGAGTTTTCATATTTTCCTGCCAAAAAAAATAAACGAAGCTACCAGATGGCAAATCAAGCTCTCACACTTTTAGGCTCGACAAGCTGTCAAACAACCTCAAAATGTCTTGATGTATGCAGTACCTCCAGAATGCTTATTATGAGGTATGAGGTCAAAACGACACATTTCAACAGCTCTTTGAAATGTAAATGGCTCTCAAAGCCTACCTAATTTTACCGAGAATAGCAATTAGATGCCATCAGTTTAGATTTGGCAATGCTTTGAAAAGAGATAACAAAAAGATCCCTCATTCGTGTGATCACTGTCGTCCAACAAGCCACTGAGTTTGAAAACCCCTCAAATTAGCGGAACAAACACACACACACACACACACACACACACACACACACACACACACACACACACACACACAGGAGGCTTCCGCCACTGTGGCAGGAGAGTGACGGCTGCCAGTAACATTTGGTACCATCACTGGTGCTGGCTGACCGCCACCAGGCATTAACGCCCCCACCCCTCCCGCAACATGCCAGTAGAGCTGTTCATCTGACTTTCTCAGCAAGCCGTCGACCATCGCCCTTCCCCAAGCCTTAACTGAGCACCGATGAGCGCCACACACAGCGCTGCCATATAGTGGACCTTGTTTCCGCATGCACACATATTTAGTTTTATCCACCTATTCAACTTCAACCGCAAGCCAACAAATCCTCCTCTGGTTGAATCCATAATCCCACTGCCATTTTGCGCTTACATGATGACTTTGTAAAAGTGTTCATAGCCACAGAGGAACAAAATCACTTACATTGTCACCCAAAAATCAAAAGTGATCAAGTGTATCATAATTGCCACCATGATCATTAGAATATGTAACAAGTTTGTCACAGTAAATCGGACCAGCTTGTCCTTGTTGACCCAGCGTGCCTGACCTGACCTGTCTCCTGTAGTGACCAAGCTATTAAACCAAGGACTATAACTGTTACCGTGGCGACGGAGAACTGTAAGAGTCAGACATAACAATCTTTACTGTGATATGGATATGCACTCACGTTATTTACAAGCATGGATTCAGGGCTCCAAATGTGGTGAGACTTATTTTTACAATTTTTTTTCAAGGGACAAAAATCCTTCAAGTTGTTTTAGCTTAATGAAATGTTGAATCACCACTGATTTGTGTTTGGTGATTAAAGTGCTTGCTGACATTTGACAGTCAACTGTTTTTCATTTATGTGATGGAGGGCGAGAGAATGTCAAAATGAGTTTCTGAGAAATATGGAGAAGTGGCGGTATCTAGTCGACATGATAACAATCCACATCCTTTATCAGGAGCACCAGTGTGTCCTGTAATGCTTGTGACCTTGTGCCCCTGTTGACCAGATGCTTGTTCTCTTCGGCCAAACCCCCTACGACGCTGGTTGCTTGGCAACCAGTGGCCCGCTGATAGCTTGAATGCGCTCATTTGTGCAAACACTTTCTGAAAAAAAGGCAAGGTATACATCCAGTTAATCCTTCACTATTAAAAGGAATAACCTAATCCAGTTAGTGTTCCTGAAATAGCGCTAATACCATATATTTACATCAAAATGTTTCCTGATCCCTCATGAAATCAATGACATTTAACATTTTTAAAAGATGTGTGTCTGAAGCAACTTCTACTAGTCTAACACTAATGGCACATTAAGTGAGTAGTTAAACACCAAATGCAGACATTGAATCACCCCAGTGCCCTGAGCGGGACGCCATAATCCCTTTAGAGAGGCGCTTCACGACAGTAATGGCGACCAACATGAAAGCAGAGATTACGATCAGAAGTCCCTGAGCAGCAGCAAAGACTCAAAACACACAAAAAGCACCAGAGGGAGAAATACGTTATGTGTAACGCATGAAATTGCAAACGATGTGAGCAATGAGCTGCATCATTTTGCCTCCTGTAGAGCACCGGTAAATATTTCCTCACATTTTACACCAGCATGATTTATTTCAGGAGAGTGGAGCAATAACCGGGGTGTCTGGGGGGATCATTTTACTCCTGGGGGATTATAGGAAGGTGATGGAATGACACGATGGCTCAAAGGCAGGAGGTTGAGAGTATTTTTTTTTACGTCCCTGGTGAATTAAAGCAGCTGCCTGAGGTGGGAGAAATAAACTGAAACATGGGCGCATAAAACGTAAAGAGACCATTATAGCCCCGCCAGACATGCGAAATTGTGATTATGACATCTATTTTGAGCACGAACATTAAGGACTCATTTATACCAAATCAACCTACACAGCAGAAATAGCCTGTGAAGCCATTAAGATATAATTTATATTGACTGCTTTACTCATTGTCCGAGAGCAGAAAGCAAACATTCGCATCCATGTGTGTTTAGTATAATATATGGTCACCTGCATCATCACACATATATTTGCTCCACGGTATTCGTCCCACACAATCAGTCCTCCATAGTCAGCTGTTCATTTGTTGTTGTTGTTGTTGTTGTTGTGACTGCTTGTGCAAAGCTTCTTAGAGCAGAAAGGAGATTACACTGAAACAATTGTGCAAACAGAAAACCCTGCAAAACCACCATGACCAAGGAGGTCATGGTGGTTTTGCAGGGTTTTCTGAATACCTCCAACTATGTAAAGGTAGCCCAGGACCCAAATCTGCAGAAGGAATTGGGTCTCGATCTGGCTTTCACAATCTCATTCAAGGTATGTGAACCAAACATCCGACTACTACCATTTAAATACATAATTCAAGGCTGTAATTGTGGCATGGTAGCATCAGGACATTTAAGATTAAAAAAATAAATAAATCGTGACAATGTCATATAGATCATATAAATAACACAAGCACAAAAACAACGATTTCTCCGTACAGGCACTTGATTCAAGACTGACTCAAAGACACATTCTATGCTGACAATCGTGTAAATATGAGCAAAGATCAGGGAAAAATATCCGCAAAAATAGGGCAAAGTGTGAACTATGCTATGGGCCATGTCTGTAAAATACCGTACCGAGATTTAATTGTGCGTTTATGCTGCCGCCTAGCGGTCATAGCACAAAGGCAGTCAACGTTTCGGATTGAGAGACACAGTAGGTTTATTCCCCTTCTCAGCAGGCTGTGAAATAAACATTCAAAAATTGCATTGGTACAATACAACTCGATATTTTGTACATACATTTTACAAACATGTGTATGCTATTTGTCAATGCTAAGCAACTGTATTTCCTTCAGTGTTTATGGAAAAACTTAATTGAGAGCAACAGTGGAGTTGTCATGGAGAATTGGTACTGTCTTTCCACAAATGAAAGAATAAATGAGATGTTTTAATAATTATGATTCATGTGGAGTAATGGATCACACACGATAACGCCGAATTAAAATGAAACCGAACACGGAGAAGACTCCAGACAACAGTTACATTGATTTGACAGATTTAAATGTCAAATATGAAAGACTTGTTTGGTGATTTATCAAGATCATGAACCGTAGTTTTAAGTGGGATTAGGGGCAATGTCTGGCTCCTGCTGATGCTCCATGTAGTACGGATCACCTTGGTGGACTCTGTGATTGTGCGCCCTAAGGTTCCCTCTGTGGGCGAACCTCTTTCCACACTCGGCACAAGCGAAGGGCCTCTTCTGCATGTGAACGTCCCGTTGGTGGGCTCTCAAGTTGCCACTACGGGCGAAGCGTTTGCCGCACTGCGGGCAACCAAAAGGCCGCTCGCCGGTGTGCGTGCGAGTGTGGACGGTGAGCTCCGAGGGGGTGAGGAAGCTCTTGTCGCAGAACTGGCAGGGATGCAGGCGGACCCCCGTGTGGCGTAAAAGGTGTCTGCGTTGGTGGGACGGATAAGTGAAGCTTTTAGCACAGTACAGGCAGGTGTAGGGGCGACCATTCCCTGCACTGGGAGATGCACTGAGGGTCAGGGGGTCTGCTTGTCGTGTTTTGAGAGAGACTGAATTGGACTGCAGGCGTAGGGGGTCTCTGTTGCTAAACGAGGTTCGCCTCATGTGACTGAACAGGCCACTCCTGTCATCATGATTATGTCTCCATGGTGAGAGAACCTGCGACTGAAGCTGCTGAACCCCAGTTTGCTCAGCCCTTTGGCCTTGCCCTGACGTTTGATTGAAGTTCTCAGTTTTTTGCTCCTTCAATACAAAAGGGTCATTCTCATCTTTGGAGTTGGTCTCAGGTTGGAGGCAAGCCACGTCAGTGCCAATACTGGCGGCAGCTGCAACAAAGCAGCTGGTGCCAGTTGCCTGCAAGCTCTTCTGACCTCCTCGAGTGTCATCCATCCGAGGCAACCATTGCCTAGGATGGGCTGGGCTGCTGTCATGCCTGGGGGACCAATGTCCAGTCTGGGAGATGGTGAAAAAAGAGGGGGAAGCACTTTCTTGTTGTAGCCGGTGGTCTTCAGTAGGCCTCCCTTGATCCCAATGAGACACTACAGACAACACCATGGGAAGGGGAAAATGTTACCCCTAACAAAATCAATAATATTGTATAATCTGATTAAGGCTTTGAAAAAATTCCACTAACTTCTTACATTCAGCTTGGATGTGTGTCTCAGTCAGTGTATCAGTTGTCGTCCGGTCTGTGATGGCGAGGCTTTCCTCTGGGACTTGGACCATGAAAGACCCCAAAGGAGGCTGAAATTCATCACATAAGGACGTACAAGATGCAAATATAAACATGCCTAATGAGAAACTGCTTCCTAAGAACGGAAAACATGAAATGGCAAAAATAAATCGGTCGGATGCAACCAATTTGTTTGATACTTATCTATCTTCAATTTAACGTTGAAAATAGCTTGAGAACAGATGTATAAACTTGGGCACTTTAAATGTCTGAGAAGTATTTTAACACTGCCGCTTCCTGACTCCACGGAAGCCATGTCTGAAAGCCCAGCACAATAAGTGAAGATGATCTTAGGTACATTTGAATAAACCTGTGATTTGATGTGCACCATAATTGCCACGGCCGATGTGTCAGTACCATTTTAATCAATGGCAGCATAATAAAGCGAATTCATTTATTTTGCGAATTAAATGAGTGATTGAGTTTGGGGTGATGTTATGTTCGGTATATGAGGTGATGAATAAATAATTAAATTGTCCTCTATATATGTTTTTATTATTATAAGGATACAAATAGTTACATTATAAATTTCAGAATTGAAATTATCGTGGAAACTCAGACTCCACAGGGAAGGGCAGAAAGTTCTTCAATTTGGGACTCTTAAATGAACTTCCATGTAAATAGGACAGTCAAACCTCTTGTTTTATCGAAGTTATAGAATCTGTGATCTCCTTCGGCTCACTCTGGCTATTATTGCCTGCACCATCTTGCGCCTTTCCTGTGTAAAACAAAGCATTTATTCCCTGTAATTCCGAAGTTAACAACATGTTAGTGGAATTGTGAATTCCTGTACCTGGTTCCCTCGGGGCCTTTGGCCTCAAGATGTCCCCTCGGTCACCAGCCGTGCCCACTTGCCCTGCCTTGGTCCTCTGCCTCCTCTCCACTTGCTCCAGCTTGGCGAGGAGGCTGGAGATCTCCGCCTGCTGCTCACACATGCTGCTCTCGAAGATCTTGGCGATCTCGCACACGGCAGCAGCAAGCAGAGTGTCCATGACAGCGGCCAGCTGAGTATGGAAGGCGCTCCGCACGCTGTCCATTGCGGCAGTTCGATTCCGAATGCGACAATTGACCGTCGCCGAATGATTTGAGGGCTCGAGGCTGAGGCGATGTGATTGACAGCTGACGATCTGTCACTAGACGCTGTCACACCAACCTAGGTCATTTCCACCGTCTCTTTACTTTTGTTAACCCAGTGCTGTTTCACTTGATATGGTTATTCCAGTTTAAACACGAAGGTCTCCGGATTACACATACAATTTAACGAGTGGCAGCTAGCTACCGTCGGCTAACATGTAAAAAGAGGGTTTGCTAGCATTAAATGAAATATGTTTGAAAAAGTGGGAAATTTATAACATTCTGGGATTTTTTTTACCATCTATCGTGTCCTCATAAATCAAACGTGAGCCAACAGGAAGAAGTGTCAAGACACGACTAACCGTCAGTCAAACTCGGAGGCTGAAGTCTGTGCGAAAAATCTCGCGAGAATAGTTAACCACGCACTATTAAAATGGCATAAAGCCGTTCAAGCTGTCAATTTATTCAAAACACACACACACACGCTTGAAAAGGGGTAAAACGATCTGACTTTTCCAGCTGTAATAAGCACAACTTCTCATCTCCGTACACAACTGGTTTTGCTATTCAAATACTACAAATGTCACATTTGTTTCAACCCATACAAAAATAAAGGGAAACCACAAATTTTATTATGTGAGATCACCAAAGACTCTGAGAGTGGAAAACAATTGCACGATTACGATAGTATTGCAGAATCGTTTTCAAACGTACCATACCATAACGCACATGCAAATGCGAACGTAATACTCTATGGTGGGCTGCACAGCTGTGTGTATGTAAGAAGGGAGTGCTTGTATAGTTTAATGAGAAAATATTTTATTTGTTTATCTATTTACTGTTAACCTTTTTATTATGATTATCTATTGTGGTTTATGTTCAATCTTACGTACACAACACTTAGCTACACTTGTGGTTGTTGTGAAATCAAGTTACTTGAATTGTTTCAAAAAATGTTCCCCCAGCACTAAACACATTTTTAACAGCTTCCTTAGAACCGTGGTAGCCAAATTTCTTCAAAATCAAGACATTAAGGTAAAAAAAGCTGGATCATTATTGTCTATTCACAAAGGACAACGCGTTCCTCTTATGTGATATCAAAATAGGATGAAAGCATTTGAAACAATACTTTGGATCACAGTCCTTTTCCACAATAGAGGTTTGCACAGTCTTCTGACAGTTAAGCACAAGTTTATGCAGCTCTTTCTGCCAGTTGACGTTTTCCAAACATTGCTGGCACAATAATTGGCCGAGGAGAGTGGTTGGACTTGTGCTTCTGCAACGAATGGGTGTGAATGCCAAAGTGCTCACTCGGCATATATTTTGTCCTCATGTGGTTATTGCACACGCGGGGAGGCGGGGGCAACCATCGCTATCTCACTTCGGAGTTATGTTATTTGACGTTGTTCAATTCGGTGTCTTCCTCTGGGTCCTCTATGGGTTCCATCCAGTTGAGGACCTGGGCCATCTCTTCAGACTGGTTTTCGTGGAGGCTGACTATGTGGCTATCGAGAGCCTGCTTGTTGTAGAATTCTTTGAGACACGTGCCGCATTGTAACTTCCTTCTTTCATTACTGTGAGACATCATGTGCTCTTTGAATTTGATTGCCTTACTGAATTGTTTGTTGCAGTGCACACAGGAGAATGTTTTGACCAATATTTTTTTCTGAGCAATGACGGAATGGTCAGAAGGTGGCGCGCTTTCCTCTTGAGGAGTCACTTGCTGCTGCTTCACTGGGCCAGATTTGACCTCATTACAGTCAGGCTGAGAAAGTTCCGTCGTTCTTGCTGCTTCCAACATTTTCTTCAGTTTTGGACACATTCGTTCATGTAATTTCAAAGCACTTGGCAAAGAAAAATATTTTTGGCAGACTCTGCACCTCCTGTGTGTTCTTATATGATTGTATAGGCCTAAGGCTGTCGTAAACATCCTTTGACAAAAATTGCATAAAAATGTTTCATCATCATCTTTCACCTGCATATGAGACTCATCCCTTTCTTTTTTTTGCTTTGGTGTTTTGTCTTCCAGAACATGCTGCTGTGATCGTGTGGCTCCTGTGATTGGTTGGTCTGATTTTTCCTCTTCGATATTTTGAGGCACGTTTTCCATGTCATTTGCTCCAAGTAAAGGACCTTTTATTCAGGTTTCAGAATGCATCTCTTGGTTTCCCCAGAGCATTTCTTACTTTTACTCTGAGAGGAACCTGTGGCTAAGAAAATGGCAAAAAAATAAATAAATAAAAATAATTTCCCTAACGAAAAAAAAAACATTCAAAACAATGTTCTATTTCTCAGCGAATATATATTTTGTGTTTATGCATTCAAAGATGGTTATGAAGAACATTCATGTGCTGTTATATATACTTATTATAATCAATCCTATAAATGCTGTATCTGGGTCTCCACTTTCCCTGACTTTTTTTTTTTTAATCGGTGTCAACAGCACATATGAAGCTAACTTTAATATGCACCCACTGGTCACAACGTGAAGTACAGCTCCACAATTTAAATGGCAACCAAATTAACTACAAGATACTAAAAAAGACATCCGCAATCACAAAAATAGGGATTCTCATGATTTATTTCCCACAAATAAGGTAACCAAAATATTAGACACTATTCTCAGGATGATACAAACATTTTGAATTTTGATACAGCTCTTGTATTGGCTCTTTTTAGATGGTCCCAAAAAATGAACATACCTTTTTCTGTACCAAAATTTGAATCCTGGTTGGAGTTCTCTACCTGAAATGCACAGACGAATTATTAGAGCATAAACCTCAAACGGGTTATTAGCTAACAAAGACATGCACCTGGATAAATAACATGACTTAAATATGAATCCCAAGAGATGTTAGGGAATAACACAACAAACTACTCTCTTTCAATCATGACTGCCAAGTACCAGTCTCTAATCTCCGTATGTACGCGTGTTGTACTTTTGAGAGGCGAACGAAAAATGCTGAGCAGGAGAGGGGGTTTTGCAGATCACCCATGATATTTAGCTGTTTGAATTGTTTTGAGAAACGTACTTACTATTTTGCACATTTCGAGAATGATTTTGAGAAATGTGTGGCAAGACTCTACATGTAATTGGATGTTAAAATCTCCGTAATACATGTTAAGTGCTTTAAAAAGCGTTCTGTTTTGAGTGAACCTTGTGCCATGTTCAAGAAAGGTTTGTGTTTTGAACAGCATGTGGTTAAAATAAAACACATTTTCATCACAAACGCAGGACGTAATGGCATTATCAAGTACTGATACTTGGTATCGGCGAGTACTCATTCTTAAGTACATGTACTAAAAGTGGCATCTGTGTATTACCATTGGAAATCCAAAGTTTCAGTCTCTCACCTGACTGGTGACTGGACAGTGCTGCAGTGGAATGGACAGCTGGTGCACCTTAACACTCGGGCAAAGAGCCTGGTCTTCTTTCTTGAAACTGTTGTGGAACGGAGGAGCACAACACTTGGCAGAGACACCTTCACAAAAAAACAGTTCTGATTGTGAGATAGTTCTTTTTTTCTCCACCAATTTCATTTTTATTTTTTGCTGTTTTGGGTTTAAAGTGAATCCTGTTTATTGCAAGATATAGAGCCCACATAACATTTTTACATTGTTTTACCTCTCCCATTTGGGCTCATATTAGACATGATCATGGATATGTGTGCACCCCATTTCAGAATTGCCCAATGAGTTGCAGAATGTATTTCTTCAAGTCACAGGGTATCTTTTAAAGGCAATACTTGATGAAACGCGGTATCTTTAAGTGTAGGACAGCACAGTACCTTCAAAGCTATCCTCAGGAATAGTGGAACTTTGGCTGGAAGAAATCAAATCTTCCGTCATGCCTTTAATCTCATCATGCTGTGCTTCCGTCATTGCTGGGCTTCGGTCACCGTCCATGTGTTCCTTCAGCAACTGCGCCATTTTTTGTAGCTTTATTTCCAGTTGTGCGATCACTTCTCCTTTTTGAGCCAGCTGCATGCTATAGTCATGTATGCATTTGTCAAAAAGCTCTGTTATCTCAAACACTGCTGTTCGGAGGACAGAATCCATAACTGTGCTTATTTGGGCCCGGAATTCTCTTGACAAGTAGTCTGACATCTTTCGGTGGCGGTTGAGTGCCGTCCTATGCGGCCAGATTCACCACCTACACAACAAAGGTCAGACTAAGGTCAACTTCGGCAGTGATTCCGAACCAGGGTGCTATGGAATCCTAGTGTGCTGTGAGAGATCATGAGGTATGCTTTGGAAAGTTATTAAATTTCAAGTTTATTTGTTTGAAATAATTACAAATATATAATATTATCTATTATCTAGCTCGGTCACCCAGAACAATTCAATGCAGTTCCATTTGATGGCAGAGGGTACAATACATTTATGTTCCACCTCTTGCCAATCATATAACAGATTAAGTCATGGATGGATTGCCGTAAGTATATCAATTTTGTATTTTAACATTTTCTTCCATGTTTGTTTGCTGACATGACATCTGATTTTTCTAATGTAAAAATGGGTGCCTTGGCCCAGTCCGGTAGATGTGGACTGTCACGTGACCAAACGCAGAAAACAGGTGAGCAGACTTACTGTGTGTGCTGCTGCAACTACAGGCCGATGACCTGATGCTTTTGTTTTCTTTAATGGCTGGCGTTTCCATACAACAGTTACAATACATTTATAATACGACATACATGTTAACACAAAGGCTAAACATTGGACATGGTAGCTCTTGAAGACATCTAGTGGAAAATACAAAAGACATTGTTAGAGCGGCCATGTCCAGCTCCGGTCCTGGAGGGCCGCTGTGCTGCCTGTTTTCCAGCTCTCCGGGCTGTAACACACCTGATTCAGATGATCAGCTCATCAGACAGCTCTGAAACAGCATTAGAACGATCCTGATTATTTGAATTAGGTGTGTTGCTCCTGGGAGAGCTGGAAAACAGGCAGGACAGCGGCCCTTGAGTACCGAATATGGACGCCCCTGTTGTAGAGGTTTAATTATTCTACAGGTACTTCGTCCTGGTCTCCTATCATACGGCTGTGGCGTACAGTGTCGCAAGCTCTTAATTCCGACTCTCAATTGAACATACCGTAACGGTGAACAAGTCTTTCCACGCTATAAAAAGTTAGGTGTTTGCTCAACAAAAAAGAAAGCTATAACTGCAATTGGCTGGCAACCACTTCGGTGTGTACCCCGCCCTCTGCCAGAAAATGGTTGGATGTAGATATTGATATATCTACATCTAACTAGCTAGATAGATATATTAAATTTAGCTTTGCTATACCTTCATTCATTTGCACTCACTCTTTTTTGTTGTTGTGTTACCTTAGTTCTTAATTTCCGTTTGCACGTTTTAAAAGTAGCTGACTTCTACTTTTTTGAACCTGCCTTTGTGCACTGAATTTAGCATTCGAAAACTATCATTTCAAAAGTGGTTGAACACTTAATATTTAGCTAAAAATGAAGTCTCTAATAAATACCCCAAAACTTTGAAACGAAACTTTAACCGGTAATGACGGTTAGCTGGGGAAATCCGAGTCGACATGATGCTTTGGCATCGCGTTACATATTTATAGACAGATAACCAAAAACATTTTACCAGCAGTATTGAACAGGTTAAGCACTACCCTGTGGTCAAGGTGGACTTCCTGAACAACATTTTTTGAACATGAAAAATCCAACTAAAGTATTTTTTTACCTGGATCAAGGAGACGTTTACCCAATACCAAGTCCTCAGAGCGCATGTGCAAAAACGAGAGGCAGCGTCAGCAATAGGGTCAAAATTTGTCCCAGATTTTGTCTGTCAGGCAAATGTTCTGTTTGACCCGGGTTCATCTCATTTCTCAAATTGAATATCCTTCGCTTGTCTGTTTACATGCTAACACCTCCCAAAAAAAAAAAATCCTTCGAGGAGGGAACAGACCTGGAAGTTGTTCTTAGACCGCCATATTAAGGAGCGTCTTAGGTGTCTTAACGCATATTGAAGCGCGACGGCCGAGGATTGAGGAGCCACCACTGGCCACCTTAAATCGAGGAATGGCTAATGTGTCCTCTGCGGAAGTACTGTAGCTCCTCGATGGTAACTGCATTTGTCCATATAAAGGAAATGTAAAACAAATTTCGCAATCAGCGTAATGCAAAAGCAACATATCTATTTTTTAAACAAATTACTCATTCCAAAAATGCACAGCGTTAATTGGGGCAGGAGGGGGCCGTGCGCTTGGAACAGACTAATCGCCCTCGTCTCTGCATATGCAAAATTGTCTAACAGTGGGGATATTCGGGTTGATTTTAATCCCACTTAAACATAAACCACAAAGTAGACATTTGTGGTGATGTTCAGGAACGTAGGCTGTGCATTTTGATACGCGTAAATGACGTGACGTCATCTGTAGACCCCGTCTCCATGAAATGACGACAACGAGGAGTGATCGTCGTCTCGTTGCTCAAAGACACTCTGCATCCTCCTGCCTCGTTCCTTTGTCAATATCGTAGCTCCTCGACGGAATTTCCGGTGACAAGTGTGACATATAAAATGAGCAGCGAGTAGTTGCAACCGTGTAATTGGAGCAGTGAGATGCACCCATTGAAAAAAATATGAGAGGGGGAGGAGGTACAAATATTTTAGCGTAATGAGACGATCGGTCCTTAATGTCGTCATTTGATGAAGACGTCTGCTAAAGATGACGAAGTTTTACTGTCGCCACAAATGTCCAATTTATGATTTATGTGGAATTCGATTAAACTCAAATATCCACACTGTTGCGGTTCACAACTTAAGCTCGACTACTATGTCCCAAACCCGTCCCCGCCCCTCTCCTCATGCACAATGCATATTTGGAATGACTCGTAATTACAGTATAAGAAGGAAAAAAAGTTTGAAGAATCATAAAATAAGACTTGACTTGACTTGACTTTTTATTAGGTCTCCCATGGGAGAAACCTGTCTCGGAGGACAGTCCCTCTGTGCTGCTACATACATTGAGCAAAAAACATTCACATACACAGCACAACCTAATTAGGACAATTACATACAAGACAAGACAAGACAGTATACACTCTACACACATCGGACACTACATTATAGTCATATGCACTCCCTCACCCCCACCACACTCATGTCCTTCCGCTTGTCTGTCTGCCTCCCTCTAATTGTTTATTGATTAAAATGATAGCCTGCGGTATGAATGAGTTTTTATACCGGTTTAATTTGCAGAGAAGAGTCCTATACCTCTTTCCTGAGTTTAGGAGCTCAAATTGGGAGTGTAGCACATGAGAAGGATTGTTTAAAATGTTGTTTGCCTGTTGAATAACGGACTGCACATACATGTCCTGGGGGGCAGGGGGTGGGGGCTCTCCGATTACCTTCCCTGCTGTCTTAACCAAGCTGGTTATCTGAGCCTTAGATTTAACAGTTAGGTTCCCAAACCCACTGGTTATTCCGAAGCGCAGGACTGACTCGATGGTTGCTCTATAAAAGATTAACAGAATGCTTCTGCCAACTCCAAAAATCCTGAGATATCGCAAAAAATGAGAAGATCAGAAAGCCTTTATTTTCTCACAATGGAGAAATTCCCAATTTACATCAGCAAAATTATGAAATGGACAAAGTAGAAGACAAAAAGTATATAAATAAATTTAAATATAAAATATGAATATAAGCCTATTAAAAATGGGTGAGTGGTGGGAAGTCCAGGTTTTCAGGACCGTCTATTCAATAGCCAGACAGCATTCGGCAGGAGCGAGCGGCGGAACCTCTCCTTGCAGCGCGGGTGTATCAGTCTCTGGCTGAAGGAGCTGCCCAGTGCTGTCAGGGTTGCCTGGAGGGGTGGGAGGGTCATCAAAACGTGTTTAATTTTCTTCATGTGGTCAAATGCATTTGAGAAGTAACACCTAAATGAACCTTAGAAAGAAGTATGTTCAAATAGTAACCATGTGTCAGTGTAATCAAGTACTGTCCTGCCCAAAAGAAAACAGATACAGTACTCAGTAAAACATGTACAGTAACTCAGCATGACTTAGATTTGTTCTTTCTCTATTTGCTCAGAGGGGATCGAGCCTTTTCTGTTGCTGGTCCCTCTCTCTGGAATGACCTCCCACTGAGCATTCGGCAAGCCTCCTCGCTGCCCATCTTCAAAACCCGCCTCAAAACTCACTTGTATTCTTTGGCATTTGACTCAGCATGACTTAGATTGTTCTTGGTTTTGCTGGTCGGTGCTTTCTACCGTCTTTATTACCGATTTGCTTTACTGTTTGTTGTATATGTTAAATTGCTTCATGTACAGCACTTTGTATGCAGCGATGGCTGTTTGAAAGTGCTCTATAAATACAGTTGAGTTGAGTTGAGTTGAGTATACTCAACCAAAAGAAATGACACAAATGGGAGGAACGTTGCAATTAAGACATCCTGTTTGTTTATCATAACTTACCTTGACAAACTGAGCCCTTTGTTGACTTTGTCATGACTCCTAATTTGTTGACGTAGTCTTCTGTTTGAAATACTTCAGGGTGAATGTAAATTGACATAACATCGTCCTCAAAGAAACTGACTGTACTTAGACAGTAAGAGGGAAGTTTAATAAAGTTTTTAAGATAGTAAATTATGGAATCCCTCCAGGGGAAATTCAATTCACACTGCTGTCGTACTAGGGACAGCAACACAATTTTTTTCTCTCTCTCTGACATACCTGTCAACCTTTCGGAGCGCCAACCCATATAAACTACCAAAAAAATCCTTATAAAGAGCAAAAAATCCTTATAACATACCAAAGCATTTTATATGCCAAAATAACGGCAGAAAAAACCCCACGAAATTTTTAATGATATTTATTGTAGATCTCCATAATACAATGGCAGGGGAATGTCTAATCATCATTCTACTTAGTGGCATTACTGTGTTCAGAGTTGTATTCCTGCGTTACTTTTTTCACCTTGTAGATTAGAACTTGCTTGTACACTACCGAAGTATGGAATGAATACTCTGCTGTTTTCAACAAGGAACCACGTGATTTACTGGAACGTTACCGGAAATGAAAGCATTCGAGTAGACGAGCACCATTCTGGGCAAAAGCAAACGGAACTACCTGTTAGGGGAAAAACGGAAATTTTCAGAATCCGTATGATTTGTGCGATATGGCCATATACGTAAGATTCACCACAAAATCTGTATAAAATATGGCTAAACCGTATGAGTTGACAGGTATGCTCTGAGCTAAATGGGGGCATAGCCGATACATAGAGGGGCTGAGAAAGTAATTTCTAAATATATTTTAGAATATTAAATAAAATGGTGGCAACACAGATTTCTGACAGGCCTTCCTGTGTCAAGTTTGCATGTTCTCCTCGTGCTTGTGTGGGTTTTCTCCAGACACTACAGTTTCCTCCCACGCTCCAAAAACATGCATGGTAGGTTGATTGGACACTCTAAATTGTCCCTACGGGTGATTGTGAGCGGCAAAGTTTGTTCGTCTATGTATGCCCTGCGACTGGCTGGCAACCACTTCAGGGCATCCACTGCCTACTTCCCAAAGACAGCTGGGATAGGCTCCACCACACCTGTGACCCATGCAAGAGGATAAAATGATGTGAAAATGGATGGATGGATGGATGGATGGATGGATGGATGGATGGATGGATGGATGGATGAATGGATGGATTAAAAAAAAATCACCAAACATAAAATGAGGCTTCAAAATTATACCATTCTCTCCGCGCTCATACACTGGTCATGTCCGCTGAATGTACTGAAACCATGCCCTGCTCAACTCAGAATCAAATGCCGTTGTAAAAATCTATGATGCTACATCTCGCATCTTTCTTATGCTTTCATATAACGACGATGTTTTGAGCCTTGAAAATACATCCACTTAAAGCCTCTGCTGGCCGGATATAAATCCCAACGGGTCTTTATCAGGCTTTTCATGCCACGACAATGAGGGTCTCTAAAGCAGCCATGCCAGTGCAAAGGTGCTGTCCATGTGCTGACTGTCACATCAAACATTTTGGAAAATGTTTTAGCCCTCTCTTCTGCCTCGTCTCCATGAGATGTGCACACTCACAGCCGCAACGAGACACTCTAACTCAGCAATGACAGCCTGGTCAACACACCGGCCGTCGTCAGATTTATTTTCCTGTTGCTTTTCAGCAGGGATGTGCTGGGACCAAAATTTAGCCCAGGAATATTCGTTGACGATGGCCATCATGCGCTGAAAAATAATCGACAGTAGGGTGTGGGGTGGGGTGGGGGGGGAGGCTGAATATTTGCATGCGCCATTGGTCACCCTGTCCCTATTTTTCAGCCTTCTCTCCGTGACGTGCGCACACTTACGGCTGACAACAAGACACTCTAAACTGGCTACACTAAGGGACTGGCTGAAGGAAAGATGCATTTTAGGGGTTCAGGCATAGTTCACAAGCTAACTGTATGTCAAAATTGTGCCATGTAACTGCTAATGCGGGACTAACAGTGCTCAAGTTCTTACATAGTGGGGGAGTTGCAACTCATTCCGGTTTGATTTGTAGTTGGTTGTTAGTTGTATGAGCTGTTGAAACGGATTGATTTTTTTATTTATTTTTTTTTATTAATGGTACCAAAAGTCTCTGTGTACTTCTCCATCGCTACTGATTGTAAAAGTCCACTACAACTTCTAATTGTGTCAATCTACTTGTGGATATGTACATTTAGTACTGGCTTCCACAATGAAAAGGAAAAGCAGCCTGTCATTACGCTTGGTTGGGACTCAAAAGAGTCAGCATTCTGTACTCAAATCTAAACTAATTAGCTGAGCTTCCCACAGCCACAGAGGTGCAGTCCAAAGTAAAGACAGATCATAGAAAGAGCAAGGGTGGTGCATAAACGCCAAAAATAAACAAAAGGAGGAGAAATGCTCGATCCTCACACCTTGATGAGCGTTTGAACCCAGCATAAGACAGCTGAGACGCTTCTTAATATGGCGGCGTGACAGGTTACGGGAGACTTT